TGTGTCTAGACTGCACCCCTTTTGCGGAAAAGGGATGCAGATTAGACACATCGCAATTGCAAATGAAGTGGGGATTTAAATCTTCCCCGCTTCATTTGCATGAGCATGGCTGCCGCTTTTTTCCAGCTCGGGGTTTTGCCAGAGAAAAGTGCCAGTCTAGACGGGATCTTGCGGAAAATAAGCCCTTTTCCGGAAGATCCCTTATTCCTACTTTTCATCTAGGGGACCCACAGGTTTTTTTAGCAGGCTTCCTGCTTCTAATGTACTTAAAAAACATTTTGTTATTTCTTTTTGAGTTTTTGGCTAGCTGTTCCTCAAAATCTTTTCTTGCTTTTCTTATTATATTTTTACATTTGATTTGACAGTGTTTATGTTCCTTTCTATTTATCTCACTAGGATTGGACTTCCACTTCTTAAAAGATACCTCTTTGTCCCTCACTGCTTCTTTCACATTGTGGTTAAGCCACGGTGACTCTTTTTTCTGATTTTAAGAGGAATAAGGGATCTTTCAGAAAAGGCTTTATTTTCCAAAAGATCCCCGTCTAGACTGGTGCTTTTTGCCGGCAAAGCCCCGAGCCGGAAAAAAGCGACAGCCATGTTCATGCAAATGAAGCGGGGAAGATTTAAATCCCCGCTTCATTTGCAATTGTGATGTGTCTAATCTGCATCCCTTTTCCGCAAAAGGGGTGCAGTCTAGACACAGCCCTTGTGTGGTGGATGGGGTATAAATCCTATTCCGGGTCATCTTCTACCGCTATTATTATGTAGAACAAAGAGCATAATTCTATGCCCCTCAAATAAAATGCTGTATCCTAGGCTATATCTGTTCTAGCTCGCATATCCTGTGTGAAGGATCAAATGTCTACGCTGCAAGCCTTTATTTCAAAATAATGTTGAGATGGAGGACTTCTTACTCCGACTCCTGGCTGTGTAGGCGTGCACCTAGCAACCTACTGTAACAGAATGACATTCTGGGTATTTGAGGAAAAATTCCTACCAGAATTATCAGTCCCTAACATGGCCCTAAGGGAGCCCAAAGGTAGACAAAACTTCATTGGTTTCCAGCATTTTTACCTCCCTGTCATCTTGTAATTTAAATGCTGCATAAAGCAGTGGGGGCAGCCAGCAAATCTCTCTTTGCCCTAGGGCTCCAAGTGTTATTTACACCGATAAAGCTCTACCATTGTTGGAAATGGTGGGGAAGCTTTGAGACACTACCACATCTTGTAAATAGAACCAGTATATGCAGATAATGGAGGGAAAAATCAAGTTTTGTCACAAGAATTGAACTTGACAGGTTGGTTACTTGAAAATGTCAGTCCATTCTCCTAGCCTGTGAGGACCTCTAGTGGGCAATGTGAATTTGCTGCCCGTTTTCTCTTTCTATATGTCCTACGCGTTATGGAATTTGGGTTACAGAAGGAAACTAAAGAATAGAAAGGAAAAGAAGAGGATCTTTATTTGTTAAAAGAAGAATACCTAATGTTCATTACCATTTAAAGGTGCAGTTGGTTTAAAAAGTCACTGAAAGGATGGGGTTTTGTGGTTCCTTGTGATCTCTTGCATATTATTCTGTACTACAAAATCTCAGAAGGGTAGCCATGTTAGTCTGTAACTTTAAAAACAGGGAGTAGTCCTGTGAACCAATGAGTGTTTTGCCCATGAAATCTCATGATTCTATATATTTTGGTTAGTCTTTAAGGTGTCATGGGACTACTTGTTTTTATTCTGTATTAAGTCTTTCATGATGTGTCAATCTCTAGTTGCTGTGCCTGAAAATTCAATTTGGGATGTGGCAGTCAGGCTGGGTGCTTTTTTTCTTATTCAATGTCACTTGCAATCAAGCTTCTGCTGGCTAAATTACACCTATGTGCAACTAAGTTGTCCAGTTATGCCCTCACTGGCATCTATTTAACTGCCTTCAGTGGCTTTGCACTAGTTGTGTCAGGGATTTATTTTCAGGATGTACAAGAAGGAATTGAAATAAAACTGTCTCTCTTTTGATCCTACAATACTAAAAGGAAGCAATACAAGTAAGCACTTAAAAATTATGTACCACCTACAGCTAGCCTTAATTGTTTCCATCTTGTAAGTTGCTGTATACGGAGCTGGACAAAATTTTCAGCCAAAACTCTGTACCAAAAAATGTGGTGATACCAAAACATATAATAAAATGTTTCAACTGCACCACCCTACTTTGTCAAGGGAGGGAGAATAAGAAAAGTTGATAAATCAATACATTTTATTTAAATTTTTTAGAAAATGAACTATTTTGGTTTTTCAGTTAAAAACTGCATTGTTTCAAAAATAATTTTAATTTAAAATGTTTGTAAATAGTCACAACTAAGAGGAAGCTTTTTGATTTAATCAAAATATATTTCATTCAAACTGAAACAATTTTTTGACTCTTTGATCCACCAAAAATTTCAAAAAAACGTTGTACAGTAGTTCAACCTAAACCCAGAATTACCAGGAAACTGAAAAATGGTGCAGTTCTAATTATCTGGCCTCCACTAGCATAGTATCTCAGCACCAGGCAATCATTGATGTACTTATTCTTGCCCTGCTGCTGCTGGGAAAGCATCATCTCCATTTTATAGATGGGAAATAGGGCACAGAGAAATTAAGTGACTTGCCCAAAACAGAGAATTAAACCAAATCTCCCACTTTTCAGTTTAGTGGCCTAACCACTGGACTGACATTTCTCTTGCTACAGCTAAAATAGGAATTTCTTCAGATATAAGGCATGCCCATATTTCCTGCAATTTATTTTCCTTCTCCAAAGATCACCTTCTCACAAACAGTGGTGGTAAATTTCACTCAAATCTTGCAAGATTTCCGGGTTGCAAACCCACAAGAAAACTTTTGCTTTACTAAATACTGATGCACTTGAGATGGTGTAATGTCCCGTTGTTTTCCCAGGCCATCATTGTGCAATCTGTTTGCTCTTTGATGTTCTTTCTCTCTGTATCATGTAGTTTCCATTCTTTGCCTATTTTGTTTCCTCCTCTCCTGGGCTTTTTCATCCTTACCAACTGATGAAGATACTGTTACCTGTAAAATCAGTCAGTAGAAAAGGGAGACATTGTTTTTTACATTTCTTACATTCTCTTCTGGCCCTGAAGCTAAGGATTATTGGGTCTATGTAAAGCAGTAAAGAGGACTCCTGTTCAGACCTTCTGCACATGAATGAATTTCATTCTGAATGCTTTGATTTCATCCTCTCTTGGTGTCACACTGCATCTAGATTGTCCTTAAAGCTGATTGTGATTTTCATAAGGAAAATATAAACTTGGATTGCCTGTTTGAAGTGCAGCATTACTAGACAGGTCACTGTGGAAATGGACGTGTGTAGGGGAGAGTCCATGTTTGTCTCTAATTTTCATATCAAGTGTGCTCTGTTTTCAGTTAGAAATATTCTTTTTCTTCTTCCAGCCCTGCAAATACAAACAGAAGTCTGAATGTCAGCTTGGCTCCTTTCCTTCTCCCATATCATCAGCAGCAATAAAGATTCTGCAGGTTTATTTATTTATTTTATTTATTTAAATATTTTTACCCCGCCTTTCTATTTAAAATATTCAAGGCGGCTTAAAAGAACAAACAAAAACTACAAATATATATAAAAATTTAAAATATGAGAATTTAAAATATGAGACCTCAGAGGGACATAACCAACTAAAAACATAGAGATGAGGAACACACACATACAGACTCAAACATTAATAAAAGCATGAGTAAAAAGGGTGGCTTTAGCCTGACGCCAGAACAACGCTAGCATTGGCGCCATGCGAATATCCCGAGGAAGAGAATTCCACAGCCTGGGAGCAAAAGTTGAGAATGCCCCGTTCCACGTAAATGTTAATCTTATCTCCGCAAGTGGGGGAACATGAAGCAAAGCCTCCCCAGCTGACCTCAATCCCCGGGCAGGTTCATATGGGAGAAAACGGTCCTTCAGATACCCTGGACTCAACTCATTTAAGGCTTTATAGGTAATAACTAAAACCTTAAATTGTGCCCGGAAACATACCGGACGCCAGTGCAGCTGCCGAAGTACTGGCATAATGTGCTCCGTATAACTAGTGCTGGTTAAAACTCGAGCAGCCGCATTCTGGACCAGTTGAAGTTTCCGAAGGCTCTTTAGAGGCAGCCCTACATAAAGTGCATTACAGTAATCCAGTCGGGATGTAACAAGAGCATGGATCACTGTGGCCAAGTCATGTTTGTTCAGTAAGGGTCACAGTTGGTGGATTAAGCTAAGTTGCCCAAAGGCACTCTTGGCCACCAAAGAAATCTGATCTTCAAATGTTAAAAAAGGGTCCAGGAGGACTCTCAAGCTGCATACCTGTCTAGAACAGGTGCCATGCCACATTCACACCACATTCTACCCTCAGACATACGTGGGAAATTCTCTCTTTTCCAGGAATATGGATGTTACTAGGTTCTTGTGTCAGAGAGGATTGTATTTTGGGGGTGAGGCAAATAATATGTTGTTATCCAGAGCAGGCAGACGTTTTTAATAGAAAACAGTTTTCATCAAACAATTTTTTTCCCAAACACTCCAAAGCTTTTCGTGAAACTTTTTTTCAAAATTGTTTCTTTTCCTGGTGACTTATGTTTATCAACGACATTACAAAAACTTGCTGTTTTAATAATGTTTTTGATAAAATATTATACATTTTAATTTACCCAAAACACTAGGTTTCAGTAAAATGACAAATTTCAATACTCATTTTGATAAATATTTCAATACATTTGACTTTAAAATCATGTGACATATTTTTAAAAAAAGGTTCATTTCAAGCTCTCATATTCATAGCTAATAATAAAACTTATAAACATGGAGGACCTTGGATGAAAAATGCTACTAATAATAATCCATTCTGGGGAAGGTATACCAGTTTGTAGTAAGACTACACTTCCCAAGATGCACTTCTGCCAGCTTCTCCTGTGAGTTGCCTCAGCTTAGTTGCAGCACTTTTCTCCAGGGACTAGTTGCCAGAACTGATGAGAAGAGGGTAACATGGGACGGAGACACTGGGTCAGGGCCACCAAATGCCAGCTGCTAGTGACCAGCCTCTTTGTCATGGTAACAGCCGTAAGAGGGAACCTGTATACAACTTGGGATAAGTAAACTGACCACCTTAAAGTTCTTTCTTATAGAGGAACGGTAAAAGTTGTTTCTCTCAGTTGAGAAAGTCTGGGGCGAAAAAAGTAAACTGTATGAATTACTGCATCCTGAACTGTTATCGCTGCTCCCCAGCATTGCCTTCTGTCACTGATAAGCTTTTAGTTTCTCAAGCTGTCACTGTAATGCAACTATTTCACAATTCTGGGCTAGCCTTCAAGTAAGAAATATGTTTCAGCCATCAGACAAGGTAGTTTTAAGATGAGGACAGGGATATCTTCTCTTGTTTCTTTCTTTTAAAAAAAGGTATTTTATTACACGTGTGTGAACAATTTCTTGAGGTATTGGATAAGCTGGAACATCTTTGTAGTTTGACATAAGGCTGTCTACTGATGTGGGTATTGGATGGAATGTAACTTGGAATCGTCTAAGTCCATACTGCAAACCAAATGTAATACTATAGATCTATAGATCTGGAGAAGCAAATGTGATGAAATGTGGTGAACGCTTACAAGGAGTTCTGGGAAAACTGCACTGAAATTAGCTCCTCTTTTTAAAAAAAAGAGTGAAAGAAAAATGAATGAATATTTGAGTTCTATAGTTGGTTGAAAAGACTGGAGAGAGAAAAAGTTTTGGAAAAAGTCATTGAAAAAATGTAAATGCTAAATGTAGTTGACCAGCTCTTATTGTAATACATTGTTCTTCCTTCAAGCTGTGTCTAGACTACATGCCTCTGTTGGCAGAGGCATGTAGATTAGACACATAGGCAAAGGCAAATGAAGCTGCGATTTAAATCATCACGGCTTCATTTACATTTACATGGCTGCCGCGCTGAGCCGACAAACAGCTGATCAGCTGTTTGTTGGCTCGCGCGCTAGTCTGGACACTCCCCTGCCGACATCAAAGCCCTTTGTCCCCCCCCCTGCCGACATCAAAGCCCTTTGTCGGCAGCCCCATTATTCCTCGTGGAATGAGGTTTACCGGGGCTGGCGACAAAGGGCTTTGATGTCGACAGGGGGAACGTCCAGACTAGCGTGCAAGCCAACAAACAGCTGATCAGCTGTTTGTCGGCTCAGCGCGGCAGCCATGTAAATGTAAATGAAGCCGCGATCATTTAAATCGCGGCTTCATTTGCCTTTGCCAAAACAACAAATCTACATGGCTCCGTCGACGGAACCATGTAGTCTAGACGTACCCTCAGAGAGGGATTCTCCTTGTGCTTACGAAGTCTGTGACTCTGAGAATACGCAAGGTAGAATTGCACTCAAACCAGCTGCAGGGGGAGTTGCTTAGCTCAAGTTTAGCTTATTTTGTATTCTATGCATATGGATACAAACAATAACATGCAATTGTGAGGTTATGAGGATTTGTTTAGATTGGTATTTCTGCAGAAAATCTGAGCTGATTCAAGCTAGACACAGCACTACATTCAGGCCCGTGCGCAGGAAATTCTGTGTGTGTATGTGGGGGGGTGGAGGGGTGCTTTTTTTGTAAATGTGGACTGCAAGGGTATGAATGCACCCTCACCATGGTCCCCCAAGTAAGCAGGGAAATCAGCCCCAGCCTGCCCCTGGCTGCTCAGAGCATGGGGGAGGGAGGCTTGGGGCAGTGTGCTGCTCCTGCCTTCTTCTGGCAGGCCAGAGCATGCTTACTTGGGAGACCTCAAGGGGGAGCTTTCCTACCCTTCGCACCCCCTCTGTGTATGGACCTGATACTGTGTATGAATAACAGATTCTCAGTTGCAAATAACCTAAAAATTCATAATTGTTTTTAAGTTCTATTGTACTGAAATTGGGGGTAATTGTTACAGTATATGTTGCACTCCAGAATGGCACCAACGGTTGTGAGACACCTCACTGCCACCTGCCCATAGTGTGATGAAGTCCGTCTGTGCCTGTTGTAGCTTAGCTCCTTGAAATCACCAGCTTCTATCAACCCAAACACTGCCTTCCTGGCCATAGCAAGCCTTACTGTCTCTGTGCAGGTTCGTAATAAGTACGCTCCAGCCCTGGAGTCCTTGGAGTATTCCTGCAGTGTCCAGTCCTGAACGCTCACAGATATACCAGGTCTATTAGCTCAAGGGGACAGTGTACACACTAGCTTGTTTGAGTCAGCTGAGGATCAACTCTTACATAACATCGCAGCACTGAGATAGTGAAAACAGTCATGAGTTTATTATCAAAGATTCAGATTTACACGATAAGGTTAATAATGGAAACAGAAACGGTTACATATAACATAAAAAATATAACACACTTCTTAGAGTCTAAACAGATTAAACCCTTGTCTAAATTAGTTTCTCACTTAAAGCAATCTCCCAGCAACATGGCTGGGATCTTGCTTTCATGAATGCAAAGTGAAACTGCCTTTTGCCTTCTCCTTACATTCCCCCCAAATCCACAGTTTCATCCCCTGAGTCAGGGTAACATCTGATGGTTCAATTTAATCTCCAGTGCCTTGCCTTGCTAACTTCCCATGCCCTTGTTCAGTTCATATATAAATGGGGCTTCCATTGTGTTGGCTTACAATGCTTAGTCTTCATGGCTAGCAAAGGGTATGTCTACACTGTGGGCTAAAGCTAAATTAAGCAATTCAACTTAAGCTATGTTGAGGCTACGTCTACACTGCAGGTTTCTTGCGCAAGCACTGTTTTGCACAAGAGTTCTTGCGCAAAAGGTCTTGCACAAGAGCATGTCCATGCTGCCATGTGCTTTTCCACGAGAGCGTCCATGGCAGTGTGATGCTCTCTTGCACAAGAAAGCTCTGATGGCCATTGTAACCATAGGGATTTCTTGCGCAAGAAACCCTTGTTCCCCGCCCACACTGTCTCCTTGCGCAGGAGATCTTGTGCAAGAGGGCTTATTCCTTGTGGGGAGAGGAATAACTCTTGCACAAAAAGCCCTCTTTTCTGATGCTTTACTGTAAATTTACTTGCACAAGAACACGCATGCAGTGTAGACTCTCTGCAAGTTTTTGAGCAAGAACAGTTGTTCTTGCACAAAAAGCCTGCAGTGTAGATGTAGCCTGATTGTGTACCTGAAGTCAAAGTAGCTTATCTCAGGTTTTCAGATGCGCTCTTTTGGAAGAAGTTTTTTCAGAAGATTCTTCCAGAAAAGCTTCTTCCAAAAGAAACCTGCAGCCTAGACAGAACCTAAATGCTACAGGAATTGGTGCCATGTAAATACATTGAAAGATATGTCTGTGAAACCCTGATTCCTCTGTTTTTTCCCAGTAACTGTCCCTAGGATTCTGGAGCAGAAGAAATGCTAGAGTGCGTGGTTTCAGATGCAGTAATTATACAGATCTGATAAGAGTTTAATCTATTAAAGTGCCCAGAGGTTCCCATCACATGTGACTTTCAGGCATATACTGTAAACTAATTCTCTCTGGGAACAGGTTGTTTCTCATTTGGCATGGCTTAAAATATCTGTGTGCGCTTGATAAGCTCTACGGTAGTTTTTCTGTGAATCCTTCATTTACTACTTTCCTTTCTCAGTAAAATCTCTGTTTTTCAGCTGCTGGGGCTGTCAGTCACCGTACTGACCATTATCACCCGCTATGGGGCTCACTTCAGCGTAATCAGTGGTGTCTCCTCTGAAGCAAACCCCTATAGAATCTTCCACAGTGTAGGTAAGTGACAGACCTTTGTTGTCCAGCAGAGATTTCCTGGGAGGGCCAACTTTTTTGGAGTTGCATAAAATTAGGGTGTAGTGAAAGGAAATTTGAAGACTCCACATGAAGTGCAGTCACTATAGACATATGGTTCCTCTTTTCTGTATGAGACACATGCTTGGCTTCATATGAGGAATGAGTCTACTAATGTTCCCCAGGCTTCAGCTACTGCAGACCAGACCTAGAGTACCAGCAGCGTCAGCGAGTATCATAGGCATGGGAAGGCACTGCCTTCCCAAACTGCCTCATGTGACCCCGCCCATGCTCCACCGGAGTCCCCCAGACCTCCTGTCTCAGCCTGCTGTTGTCATGTGAGAGGCAAGGGCAGGCAGGGTGGGGGCTGTGTCGTGCCACCGGTTCTTCCAGTGCTGGTGCCACTCTGGCCATCCAGCATTGGGGCTGGTGTCTCAGCTCCTGAGGGTGCAGGCTACAGCCGTGCCACCCGCCAGCTCTCCAGAGCAGACTGCAGCCATGTCCCCCGCCAGCTCTCCAGAGCAGCCTGCAGCCGTGTCCCCCGCCGGCTCTCCAGAGCAGACGGCAGCCGTGTCACACGCCGGCTCTGCAGAGCAGACTGCAGCCATGTCCCCCGCCAGCTCTCCAGAGCAGCCTGCAGCCGTGTCCCCCGCCGGCTCTCCAGAGCAGACGGCAGCCGTGTCACACGCCGGCTCTGCAGAGCAGACTGCAGCCATGTCCCCCGCCAGCTCTCCAGAGCAGCCTGCAGCCGTGTCCCCCGCCGGCTCTCCAGAGCAGACGGCAGCCGTGTCACACGCCGGCTCTGCAGAGCAGACTGCAGCCATGTCCCCCGCCAGCTCTCCAGAGCAGCCTGCAGCCGTGTCCCCCGCCGGCTCTCCAGAGCAGACGGCAGCCGTGTCACACGCCGGCTCTGCAGAGCAGACTGCAGCCATGTCCCCCGCCAGCTCTCCAGAGCAGCCTGCAGCCGTGTCCCCCGCCGGCTCTCCAGAGCAGACGGCAGCCGTGTCACACGCCGGCTCTGCAGAGCAGACTGCAGCCATGTCCCCCGCCAGCTCTCCAGAGCAGCCTGCAGCCGTGTCCCCCGCCGGCTCTCCAGAGCAGACGGCAGCCGTGTCACACGCCGGCTCTGCAGAGCAGACTGCAGCCATGTCCCCCGCCAGCTCTCCAGAGCAGCCTGCAGCCGTGTCCCCCGCCGGCTCTCCAGAGCAGACGGCAGCCGTGTCACACGCCGGCTCTGCAGAGCAGACTGCAGCCATGTCCCCCGCCAGCTCTCCAGAGCAGCCTGCAGCCGTGTCCCCCGCCGGCTCTCCAGAGCAGACGGCAGCCGTGTCACACGCCGGCTCTGCAGAGCAGACTGCAGCCATGTCCCCCGCCAGCTCTCCAGAGCAGCCTGCAGCCGTGTCCCCCGCCGGCTCTCCAGAGCAGACGGCAGCCGTGTCACACGCCGGCTCTGCAGAGCAGACTGCAGCCATGTCCCCCGCCAGCTCTCCAGAGCAGCCTGCAGCCGTGTCCCCCGCCGGCTCTCCAGAGCAGACGGCAGCCGTGTCACACGCCGGCTCTGCAGAGCAGACTGCAGCCATGTCCCCCGCCAGCTCTCCAGAGCAGCCTGCAGCCGTGTCCCCCGCCGGCTCTCCAGAGCAGACGGCAGCCGTGTCACACGCCGGCTCTGCAGAGCAGACTGCAGCCATGTCCCCCGCCAGCTCTCCAGAGCAGCCTGCAGCCGTGTCCCCCGCCGGCTCTCCAGAGCAGACGGCAGCCGTGTCACACGCCGGCTCTGCAGAGCAGACTGCAGCCATGTCCCCCGCCAGCTCTCCAGAGCAGCCTGCAGCCGTGTCCCCCGCCGGCTCTCCAGAGCAGACGGCAGCCGTGTCACACGCCGGCTCTGCAGAGCAGACTGCAGCCATGTCCCCCGCCAGCTCTCCAGAGCAGCCTGCAGCCGTGTCCCCCGCCGGCTCTCCAGAGCAGACGGCAGCCGTGTCACACGCCGGCTCTGCAGAGCAGACTGCAGCCATGTCCCCCGCCAGCTCTCCAGAGCAGCCTGCAGCCGTGTCCCCCGCCGGCTCTCCAGAGCAGACGGCAGCCGTGTCACACGCCGGCTCTGCAGAGCAGACTGCAGCCATGTTACCCGCCAGCTCTCCAGAGCAGGCTGCAGCCGTGTCACACGCCAGCTCTGCAGAGCAGGCTGCAGCCGTGTCACACACCGGCTTTCCAGAGCAGACTGCAGCCATGTTACCCGCCAGCTCTCCAGAGCAGACTGCAGCCGTGTCACACGCCGGCTCTCCAGATCTCTGGGGCCAGGAAAGCAGGGTGTGTTACCCTAGGGCAGGGAGGGGACAAAGGCCAGTGGCCACACTACAGGGGCAGGGCACGGGCCAGCAGATGCCACAGTGTGGGAGCTGGGCTCTGGTGGGTGAGGAAGGGGCAGGGCTTTGGGGTCTTCCTTCCCTAAGCCATGGGGGTCACCTGCTGGCCAGGAGTACTAGTGCAGTACATTATTAGCCATGAGTACTAGGTTGAGGAACTTTGAGCATCCGGGCATTCCCTGAACCCTCCCAGGGGATATCAGAACTCTGCTCTGGCCCGGAAGTAGGAGACAACTGTTGCAGGAGACCAGCCATGCATAAGATCCTGATAGTGGGTACTGGAACACAAACTCCCCTTGAACATACCGTGATTCAGTAGGATCTTTATCTGACCACAGAGATAATTGTAAAGAGAACTTGTGATCTTCTGGCAAAAATAACAGGTACGTGAATCTGCTGGAACTGTGGGAGCAAAGAGGATGAGGCGTGGGGACATCACAAAAGTTGATAAACGTAGTGTCATGGGACAAGGAAGCCATATACAGATGATCACTGGATGAGTTGAAAGGCTCTTGCATTTTCCTGCAATCCAGTCCCTTTGTATCTTTTTCGCCTCTGAGCTAAGCTTGTGCACGTGCTTAGCTTTGCATACAACGAGCATCCGGGCATTCCCTGAACCCTCCCAGGGGATATCAGAACTCTGCTCTGGCCCGGAAGTAGGAGACAACTGTTGCAGGAGACCAGCCATGCATAAGATCCTGATAGTGGGTACTGGAACACAAACTCCCCTTGAACATACCGTGATTCAGTAGGATCTTTATCTGACCACAGAGATAATTGTAAAGAGAACTTGTGATCTTCTGGCAAAAATAACAGGTACGTGAATCTGCTGGAACTGTGGGAGCAAAGAGGATGAGGCGTGGGGACATCACAAAAGTTGATAAACGTAGTGTCATGGGACAAGGAAGCCATATACAGATGATCACTGGATGAGTTGAAAGGCTCTTGCATTTTCCTGCAATCCAATCCCTTTGTATCTTTTTAGCCTCTGAGCTAAGCTTGTGCATGTGCTTAGCTTCGCACACAAAAATAGTCACACTGAAGTCATTGGAACTACTCATGTGCCAAAAATTAAGCATATAGGCAAGTATTTGTGGGGCCAGGACCTTAGATTGTAAGGTCTTTGGGGCAGAGACTGCCCCTTATTTTGCATCTGTACTGTACCCTGAAGAGCAAGCGTCTGCCATTATCTATATTACAGTAACATCCAATATGAGCACTCTTCATATTGCAGTATTGTAACTGATTTTTCTTCAGTGCACACACAGGACTTAGCTATATGTACACTTGTGCTCATGGCAAACAGGGTATATATCTGCCCCATACTAGTCTGCTGTGCACTAAGGGTGCGTCTAGACAGCGGCGCTATTTCAGGATACTTCCAGTATCCTGAAATAGCTATTCCGCATCTTTGAAACAAGCCCATTATTTTTAAATATTGCAGGCTCACTATTCTGACGTCCCTGTTAACTTTGTTGCACGAGGATTAAGGGGTGTTTCAGAATAGTGGTTTTATTTCAAAACTTGGCGTTGTATAGACAGCACCAAATTACGAAATAAGTTATTTCAAAATTAACTCGAAATAAGCTATGCAATTTGCATAGCTCAAATTGCATAGCTTATTTTGAGCTACGGGTGCTGTGTAGATGCACCCTAAGTAGCCAACCAGCTGTCCCTCTTGCTGTGCACTAAAAGTTTCCTAGAGCACTGTGCTCTATCCCATTTCAAAGTGGCATAGATAAAAATATTTAGTGCACAGTTTAAGAACAGTCATATGGAGTCACGCCAAAGGGTACGTCCACACAGCACCCTAAACTCAAAATAAGTTAAGCAATTTGCACTATGCAAGTTGCGTATCTTATTTTGAAACTATATCGAAACGCTATAACGCGCTATTTCTAGCCATCCCCAATCCCTCATGCAACAAGATTTACCAGGACGCCAAAATAGCATGTCCGTTATTTCAAAAAATATTTCAAAATAATGGGCGGCTTGTGTAGACATGGGGGTAGCGATTTCAGGATACGTCTGGTGCAGTGTAGAAGTACCCAAAGATTCCTCTAGCCCAGTGTCCTGTCTTCTGACCATGGCCAATGCCACACTCAAGCTGGGTAGATTTACATTACAGCTTGCCACAAACTAAGTGTTCATACAGAAAAGCCCAGAGAGGGCATTTTCCTGTTGTTGTTGGGGGGTTTTATTTTTTTTCATTTTAATATTATACACTTTGCATAAATAAATTATTTCCATTTGCCAAGATTACTTTTGTTATCCAAGACAGCCAGGGATGTAACCCCATGCTCTGGATGTTCTTAGCCTCTGACTTCTACAGGCTGGGAGTGGACAACTGGGGATGGATCACTCAACTGCCTGTTCTGTTCACTCCCTTTGAAGCACCTGGTATTGTCACTGTTGGAAGACAGGATACTTTGGACTAGATGTGCCATTGATCTGACCCAGTATGGCCATTCTTATGTACACCCTTTAACACAGTCCTTTCTTTTCAGGCTCAACAGAGCAAAATGGCATCAGTTTCCGTATGAAAATTTCTGTCCTGTCACAAAATTATGTCACCCTTTTTCAGATTTCAGCAGGTTTGGGAGCAGGCTGGGGTGGTGTGATGCTTGTTGTATGAGATTTTTTTTAGCTCCATGATGTTCTCAGACCTCCCAATCTAGTGGCTTGAGGAGCAAAAATCCAAAAGTTCCTCATGACATGCAAGTTCTCCTGAGAGCTTTAGTTTGTAGAACTTGCTTGTCAAAAGGAACCTAACTCTGCCCAAGGTAAAACAGAAGTTCCCATCAGAGAAAGGCAGCTAGGACTTCATGTCTTATTAAAACTCCTCTGTGTGCCTTTCCCCCAGCATTCTCCAGCGGGATATGTCTGAGTATGACTCTGGTCCTTGCAGCCCTTCTGAGTACTGCTGCCACAGTGAGAGAATCAGTGTGCCTCATGGCCATGGTAAGTGTTTGGTTAGATGGGCACAGGTGGGTAGGTAACTGCTTTCCCAAATTCTGTGATAGCACCATGATGTGGAGATACAGGGAACAGGGCCGGCTCAAGGATTTTTTGGCACCCCATGTGAACTGTGACTTTGTGCCCCCTCTCCCACATTCTATACAGAGAAAAATTAAAAGCCTCGAATGAAAATTTACCTTCATTTACTTGGCATTCGAAATGAACAATGTATAAATAAAAATAAACATGCTTATTGATTTCTTTATCCTTTTCATTCATCCTAGCTCAATTACACTATATGGCTGTGTCTACATTGGCACCCCTTTCCGGAAAAGGGATGCTAATGTAGACTTCGGAATTGCAAATTCCGCGGGGGATTTAAATATCCCCTGCGGCATTTGCATTTACATGGCTGCCACTTTTTTCCGGCTTGGGTATAAGCCGAAGAAAAGCACCAGTCTAGACGTGATTCTCCGGAAAATAAGGCCTTTTCCGGAGGATTTCTTGAAAGCAGGAATAAGAAATCCTCTGGAAATGCCTTATTTTCCGGAGAATCACGTCTAGACTGGCGCTTTTCTCCGGCTTATCCCCAAGCCGGAAAAAAGCGGCAGCCATGTAAATGCAAATGCCGCGGGGGATATTTAAATCCCCCACGGATTTGCAATTGCAACTTGTCTCATTACCATCCCTTTTCCGGAAAGGGGTGCCAATGTAGACACAGCCTATAGGTAAACCACCCAGTAGCTGACACTACTAAATACAATATTTGATACTTTTGTTTATAAGATAACATATTAATAAATGTTTTAAATAGAGAAAAAAATCACTTCTGTTTAATTTAAAGTCTGGTGCCCTGGGTTGGGCCAGCCCTGACAGGAAGAAGCTATGACTGTATCCCACATGCTCCCAACACTTGGCTTATGGAAAGTTAAATGTAGTGTTTTTAGTGCTGATTAATTGTTTTGCTTTGTACCCCCAGAAACATATGGGGGAGAAGACAGCCAAATCTGCTTTTCAAGGCACAATTGTGCTTAACCTCTCAAAGTGACTCGGGGGAGGGGAGGTGATTTTATCCATATGTGACCTCTTTTTTCAGAGGTTCTGTCTGCATATGCCTCTGATTGGGGTCAATGGGAAATGCCTATTTGCCAAGATGATCATTATTTCTGGTTTACATTCTTCGGTAGGATGTCCTTAATGAAGTGTTTCTTTGTTTTTCTGATATTTGAGTCAGATTTGGAAGTCCTATGTTCCGCCCTGTTGTGTAATAGCAATCTTAACTCCAGTGAACTGAATTACAAAATGAAGTGTTTTGTAAACATTTATATTCATGACTAGAAGATTTACCTGGTGTTGCTTGAATCCTTCATTCAAATATATTTTGTTTTTCTTCATTTATATCATTGCTCTGGGGTGGGCCTAGGGATGAAGGTTCAGTTTGCAGCCTGCCCCAGGGAGGGAGGACAACCTCTCCCACTGCAGCAACCTGGGCTAGGTGAGAAGTGCCAGTCCATGGTCATTGCAGCTGCAGCAGGCACAGCTGGGAAAGGGGTGCATGTCCCCCAGCTGGGAGATAGACACACAGATAAACAGATATATAAACTCGCTCTCTGAAATATATAGTAAGTAGCTGTCCCTTTATAGCCCAATGGGGTTATAGTTGTCCTTGTCCTTATCTCTGGCCTCTCCCTGTGGTCATTCTGCAGTATAACTGTCCGTCCTGCCAGACCGCTCCCTTTCCACTTTATGAGAAATGATCAAATTCCAGGCATATCCCATTGTCTTGGCATAACCAAACTTCTGACCTTGCTTTAAGTTCTGATAAGAAGCAGCTGCATACCAAATGTGGTGGTCCTGGTTTTTACTGTTTAGGAGGAGTTTTTGAATAAACAGACTCACAGACAGACAGGCACACATTTCTAAAATATATAGTAGGATTATTGTGAGCTTAGAACTTTTGGTGGCACCAGCCCAGTTTTGACTGCATTAACTGTGCTAGCATACTGTCAAGGCCAACTTTCTACCTAACACAAGCTTGTAAGAGAAACTCATTGGTGTTCATCAGCTGGTATATGCATGAGATGGACATTTTCTTCTCAAAATGTCAACTACATAGCCAATTGAAAAGAAATAAATGTATAGTTTAGAATAGAATGTATAATTGTGTGTGCAGGCTAGGGATGTGAAGGACTAGTTGATTATTTGACTATCCAATAAGCAAATGCTTAGCGGATAGTGGACATGCTAATTAACCAGTCACTTCCCCCCACCCTTGCTGCCTCTATCAGAAAGAGGCAGAAATGTATAGATAGCTTGATTACTGCTGGTATGGAGAACAAAACCAAACCCTCTAACATTAGGTTTCCTCACAATGAAGTACTGAATACAAATGAAAGGTTATACACTTCCAAAAACAATAGAGACTCATTCACAAACATAGTCACATCAATGACTTTTTAAATTGAAATAGATGAGAATAGCGTGGTTTTTGTAATTGAAAGAATAAGGTACATATTAACCCTGTCACTTAACTTTTTATTTGACTCAATGATTGATTAGTGGTTACAGCATGTAGAAAATAAGGGGAAGTGACATTTTATAGGCAAGTTACTTTACAGTGAGCCCTCGCTACTTCGCGGTTCGACCATCGCGGATTCACGACTTCGCGGACTTTTTTCATTACGTATGTATATATTATAAAAGAAATATATCGCGGATTTTCCGGAAATTTCGAAAATAGCCGCGATATATGAAGACCCCAAATATTTCGTTAATTCCATTAATAATTAGTAATATCTGCTCTTACTGATGGTTCATTGCATTACATATGACATATAATTCAGTACAGAAAGAAATAAAACACGAAAAGTCTGAATATACATGTTAAATAAATACGTAAATATGGTGTCCCTACTTCGCGGATTTTCAGCTATCGCGGTCGGGTTTGGAACCTATCTACCGCGATAAACGAGGGTTCACTGTATATGTGAGTATGCATGGTAATTGCTACAGAACAGTGGTGGAGAACTTTTTTGGGTCAGAGACCATTGACCCACAGAAAAATCAGGAGAGTAGCCCTGAGCCTTGGGGGTTGGATCCAGGCAAGCCGAGGGCTGGATGTGGCCCCTAGGCCTTAGGTTCTCCACCCCAGCTATAGAAGGGCAGCCTTATGACTAAGGCACTGGAGTGAGGCTCATCAGGTCTAGGTTCAGGTCTGTCACAAACTTCCTGCGTGACCTTGGGCAAGTCTCTGCCTCAGTTCCCCTCTCTGTAAAGAGACCATGACGCATCCTTTCTCCTCCCATTTTTGTCTTTTCTGTTTAGACTGTAAGCTCTTTGGGGCAGAGGTCTCTCTGGGTATGTCTACACAGCAATGTTATTTCAAAATAACTTAGTCCACATCTACACAGCCAGCAGTTATATCGAAATAATGCTGAAATACTGTCGAGCTGAAGGACTTCTTACTCTGACTCGTGTAACCCTCATTGTACAAGGATTAAGGGAAGTCTGAGGAAGAGTGCTCTGTTTCAGAATAAGCTGTTTTGAAATAAGCTACGCAATGGACGTAGATCAATTTGCATAGCTTATTTCCCGTTAAGCCCTGCAGTGTAGACGCACCCTCTCTGTGTATGTACAGCACAAAGCTCACCAAAGCTTCCTTCTTGGTGGGAGCTTCTATATGCTAGTGCAGTACAAATAATAAATTACCATTATTTATTTAAATATAAGGTATGTACCAGCCTACCGACAGGGGGAAAACTGCCCCAATTCAAAGAGGTCTCAGGCCCTTTAAATTGCTGCTGGAGCTCCAGTGGTGAGCTACAGAGCCCTTGGCGGTGCAGCACACCACAGACAATACTGGCAGGGGGGCACAGTCCCGGTGGCACTGAGAGCTGGCTGCCCCAGCCCTGCCCCTTCCACGCCCTGCTCCTGCAGCCTGCCCAGAGGCCTTGGGAGACTATTGGCTCACCTGGGAATGTAATTTACCATAAGTCTTCAGATCACAACTCTCTAATGACTCAGGACAATCTTGTCAGGCCTATTTTGTACTATTAAGCATGGCACCTGCTAAAAAGTACCTTTGCGTTGCCCCATTTGTGGGTAGTTAATTGGTGACAGTTGATTACTGAACTCTCCTCTGCATTATTTTTAATGTGTTGTTTATTGCAAACTATCGTGCTTCCTATGAGAAGTCGGGGCTGGGAGCGCACCCTTTCCCAGGTCACATATATTGGTTGCCAACTGCTGGTCGTTTTGGTGGTTTTCTTAAAGCCCCATCTCAGGTATATAAGGGAAAACAATCCCATCTTGTGGGCTTTTAATTATTTCTCTTTTGAGTGTGTGTGTGTGTGTGTGTGAGAGAGAGAGAGAGAGAGAGAGAGAGAGAGAGAGAGTGCTTCTAAACCTCACAGTGGTGAGATATAGCTGGAAAACAAGACCTGAGTGCACCCAAAAGACAATACTGCTAAGTGCCTGCCAGAGCTGTTCAGATACCAGTTGACAATCTTCCTCTTTCTGTCCTTTTTCACCTGTCTCCTAACTGCCTACCAGCCAGCTGATACACTGACGTTGCCTGCCCATCCATCTTCTTTACCCTCCTTTTAGCTTGTCCTTCTTCTCATTCAGATTTGATATACCTCTTACTTTGTTTTTTGTTTTACTCAGCCTGCAGCTAGGGAACTGAAGTGAGGGGAAACATCAAAGACAGTCCAGGGGAGAGTTTTGGCAAAAGTCAAGCAGGATTGTCACCTCTCCAGAGACCTGACTTGTCTCCCTTTCTTGAACTGAAATTTTTGTTGTCCAACAATCGGTATGGTAAACACCAGAGGATGAATCATTGTCCTATGGGTTAGCAAACGAATAAGATGAGGGTTTCAAAGTTGACAGGGAATTTAGGGAAATGGCTCCTGCGAATATTCAGGGGAGCTATTGTGTGTTTAAATCTCCCAACAAGCATTGGACATCTCAGTCCTAGTTTTTAGTGGCAAATAACTGTGTCCTGG